CGCAGGACAAAGAATTCAGCAATACGAAAGGACGCCCGACTAGCGATAGTCTGCGGAATAGTGACGATGTCCGAAGAAGAGGAGCCTGTAAGGCCGATAGTCAACGAGTAGTATGGAGCAATGCACAAATCGGCGAAATGTATATACTTGATGCTCCACAGGTTAAGCGATGGTTCATCCAACACAGCGAAACATTCATGTGAATTCTATCAAAAAGGGAAAACATAGAACAACACAGAGCAGAAGTATCGGTAAGTTTTAGCGTAAAATCTCTGAGTACAAACATTTCAGAAAAAAAGGCACTCATGACCCTGCTGGAAATCGGGAATCGAAAAGAGGATCCGGAGGAAGTGTTTTACACGACGAATCGACTTGGCAATTAGACTACCCACTTCCCATCAAACGACAACCTCTTTGAGCGAATATCTCCATTTCTATGGGACCAACGCTCTCCTCTCTTTTGACAAGCGTCTTCGTGAACAAATTAGTAGAAGAATTACAGGCTCCACCGCTGAAAGCAAGAGTGTCTATGCGCTGTCTGAAGGACTACTGTGCACTTGTGTTGCTGGAAATTGAAAAGTTATATGAATTCCTTAAGCTTATGAACCAGGCTGAGGAAAGAATCAACCTTGCAATGGAGGCAGAGTGAGGTGAACACAAACATTCCTGTTGGCCGAAGCTATCAGCTTAATCAAAGAACTCAACAAAAGATGAGAATGTACCAAATCAATGGTCCGATGCTGGACAACATGAATACTATGCCAGGATACAGGTCGAGCTACGTTCCACAAGGTCGCCTTGACGCTCCGACCAATTTGAGAAAACGAGATCCGACCACCTCTAGAAAGCTAAATAAGTCTGCGAACAAGCAGAAGGCCACACCAGCCTGGTCTTCATATCTACGATCAAGAGAAGATTATTTACAACAAAGTCACATGCGGGAATAATCCTCGATTTCCAGTCTTATTTCTCCTACAAGCGAAGGATTTGAATAATGAATAACATGCTCAGAAAAGCTTTAAAGTTAACGGAAAAGGAATCATGGGATAAAGAATTGGTCAAACTTAACTAAAATGTTATTTCTGGACTTGTAATGTACCTAATTAACGATTCTGATCTGGAAATTCTCGTGACTACTTCCAAAGGACTTTGGATAAAGCCTGTTTCTCCAGGTGGACCTGACAACATGACCACCGTGCGAAGATGTAACTTTTACCGTAATCTGGGTTTCATCTTCATGGTCTTCATATCTATATTTCTTTAATTGAATATATGAAGACCAAGATGTTGTGGCTTCTGTTATGGTTGCAGTCTCCTTTCGATTTATAGAAGTGG